ACGACCCGCCAGTAGCAGTAGTAGTAGTAGTAGTAGTAGTAGTAGTAGTAGTGTTTGATGTAGTAGTATTACTAAGTACTCGTTACTAGTAGTAGTAGTAGTAGTAGTAGTAGTAGTAGTAGTAAAGTAGTAGTAGTAAAGTAGTAGTAGTAGTAGTAGTAGTAGTAGTAGTAGCAGTAGTAGTAGTAGTAGTAGTAGTAGTAGTAGAGTAGTATATGGACCCTCGTGAACTTGGTCTTTACCTACGCATGTCAGCCTGTCTGCCTCACGGCAGCGCAGGGATCTGTACTGTGGCAATGAATAACCGCACAGATGCCGATGTCAAAAGCTGAACGCTGCAGTGGGGAATCCCCCTAAACCCTAAACTCAGGGTTCCTCCGTCTTCTTCCTCACTTCTTGCTTTACTTGCCGAGGTCCGCCGGGCTCCTGCAGTGTGTGAGTGTGTGATCAGTTCAAGATGGCACTATAGCATTTAGGGTTCAGGGCTTTGGGCTTAGAGTTTAGAGCTAGTGAAGATAAGCTACCATGCCATGAAGTGGTGATGACCTGCCTGCCAGCACATCTGAAAAGTCTGGAGGACCCCACGACAGCGAGCTTCCAATACAACACTGTAGTCTCCATCGTAGTTCCTTTTCGGGGTTACCTTTTAGGATCCTTCATGTAGAATAGGTTAAACCAAAAGAGGAACTACAATGAAGACAATACGTAAAGCCCTTCACAACCGCGAAACTGAACCTGAATCTGTAAGTAGCCCAAGGGTACTATAAGAGTACTATAGTGGTGATTACTATACGGGTTCTACAAGGGTGCTATAAGGGTACCATAAGGTTACTTTAAAGGGGTTTGAGGGTTCATTGGGGACCTTATCCAGCCACAGACGCCCGATCGTCAACCTACCAACCATCCACCTTCTCAACCCTGAACCCTAAACCCTTTGCTCCTGGCTCTCAGCAGGATAGTCGCTTCTGCTTTCCTGACAATGAAGATTGGGTGTGAGCCATGGTATGTAAATTTGGTTCCGGGAAGTGTTTTATCAGGGTTTACATGCCTGCGGAAAAAAACGATACTAGGACGCCCAAAGCCTCAGACTACAAACCCTGAACACCTGACCCAGGAACGCCAAAACCTCAATGAGACTCCCAAACTCAATCTGGATCCCAATACCCCGATGCACTCTAGACAAATCCGCGAAATCTTGAACTCTACAGCTTACATCCTGGGAAAAAAACTCAAACACCTCCAAACTCAAGCCTCAGGCCTATGAAAATCCTCAGCAGAAGCTCCAACAACCTCCAAGTCTCGGGCCTACTATGTTTAGGATTAGCGTTTGGGGTTTTACAGTTGAGGGCAAGTTTAGGGGTTTAAGGCTCCAGCGCCAACACTCTTCACAACCTAGCCGCAGGCCTGCACTTGCTATCCTCTATTACACAATCTGCAATGACCATTCGGGTTTAGGGTTTGAGGTCACCCATAGGCCCCATAGTAGTTCCTTTTTGGGATTACCTTATAGGATTCTACATATGAACCCCAAAAAGGAACTACTATAGGGCCTATGGCCTATGGGTACATAGGGTTTCAGGTGCTTGGGGCCTTCAGCAGCTTCGGTGGACGAGGCTTGCGCTGCTTGGCAACCTTCACGGACAGAACGACCACCTCAGCGCCGGAAGCTTTGGACACGGTGCTGTCGGGTGCCTGGTAGGCTTAGGATTTACTGTTTTCAGAAAGAACGGACCTCCTCTTCAGAGCCGAAGTGACCAATATTCCCATTGAGCCCTACATATAGACAGTCGGCCAATACCCTAAGATAAGCCCCATTTCATGAAACTACGTACGAATAACTTCAGACACTGAAATTCAGAATTCTAGCACTACCAACCACTAATCCCAGATCTCCCATTTACACAACACCTAGCTACAATACAGTAACGCACTCCGAGCCGCCGGACCCTGAAACTGCGAAGCCCTTGAGAAGAACCCTGAGACAATCGGAGTCCAAGTGGTCGACTTCCGTCCCTTATGGTGTTGGGTGCCTCAAGAAGATCCGAAGTCCGAAAAGGAAGAGTACTTGGAGCGGCAAATTGAACCATGTTCAGTTAACAGCCCTAAATCCCAAAAACCCTAAACCCAATAAGCCCTGAACCCCAAACCCTAAACCCTAGACCCTAGACCCTAAACCCTAATCCCTAAACCCTACCCCAACACCATGTTCAGGAAAGTCGCATCCGCATCTGCGGAAGCCATGGTGCGATCTCTTGCAACACTGGTGTCTTGAGCCGCTCTGCATGGGATCGGGAGTTGCCGTAACAAGCCGCATCATGACTGTGAGATGAAATACATACATGCGCGTGGCCACACTACTTCCTGGCGATGCAGGGGTCTTTTGAAGGGACGGGAGATGTTCCATCGGACTTGCCTGTTTGGAGCCACAAGCCCCGCGCAAGGCTTACAAACGTGAACTTCAAAGCCAAAGCCAGACAAAACCCCTTTATAACCCTTCTGAAACTTTAAAGACTCTTCAGAAAGACTTTGCAACTCTAAATCCCCAACGATCACTTGTTTTCGGGGGTTTGATGGAGCATCGCTCGTCCACATAGCCGCGGAGAAGTTGCCTGGGAAAGGACTCGAAAGCTCAAGGCTTTCTTTAGGGTGTAGGGTCCTCAGGACCCAAACCTAGTGTAGCGGGGCCTGGGTATAGTGCAGTATATATATATATATATATATATGTATTTCGGGGTATGAAGGGATTTATTCTCTCATGAGTCAGACCTCTATGATAACAGGTTCTGCGAGGCTTCTATTCGGCTGCTGTATCAAGGTTCGAAGAAACTGTTTGAAAAGGTCCTAAGGGCTCAAGAGGACAGTATCAGGCAAATAGGCTTAGGATGGTAGTATTGTGGGTTGGTGTTTGCGGGAGTTTACGACTCGCGCGTACTTGGACCCTTAGGGTTATGATTTTTCTTTCTATGGCTAAGATTTGGTGTTTGGGGTTTGGAGCTTGAGTCGTGACGGCTGCTACCAGTTATAATAATTAGTTATCGGTTTAGCGTTTCGGGTTACAGGTTCTGATACGGTTATGTAAGTACCCTAAAACCTTATGAACCCTCAACCTTGAATCCCGGTTCAGGGCTTAGGGAACTCTGAGCTTGAACTCTGCATCTCTTCCTTTTTGTCGTCTCTGCGGCTGAAGAGCCTTTTGGAAGGACGGCGAAGCACAGCTCACCTAAGGCTAAACCCTGATCCAGTAAGCCTGAAGCCTTCATGTCCGAAGCCTTAAACCCTAAAACCTCGAAATTATCCTTGAAAGTCTCAAACCCTGAACCCTAAAGCCCTCCAAATTGTGTGAAGCTGAGCTTTCTTCTTGGCAAGACGTAGGGTTTAGGAAATAAGGTTTAGGTCCCTGTTGAGGGTGCATCGGCTTTGGGTGTCCCTGAACTCAACCCAAACCCCAAGCCAACCCTTAAGCCCTGATCCCCAACCCCCCAAAAAATACCCTGGAGCCCTGAAGCCCTAACCCAAAGGCTCCATGTACCCATATAGTAGATACTTAAGCCTTGAAGGGGTCCCTATGTAGGTACTTTAAGGCCTAAGTATCTACTATATGGGTACATGGAGCCTTTGGGTAATGGAAGCTTTACAGGAACTCCTAGCCACCCGCAGAGGGCGCTCTTCAAGGAACCCCGAAGACCTCCCAGGGGTTTAGGGTTTAGGGTTTAGGGTTTAGGGCCTAAACCGACCTTGAACCACATCCCATGCGACTAAGGGTCTTTGCTTCTGCATGGGCGTCCTGCCGCTCCCTCATAGTCGCCTGGCCGAGAGCTTAACAATTGGAAAGGTCACCCCGAGAAGGATCTCTGATAATCAGCAACCTTCATAGTGCACTATATGATAAAACCCTAAACTGCCCCAAACCGTAAGCCGAAACCTTAAACCCTAAACCCGAGCACCCCCATAGATCCCTTAAGTGGGAACGTTATAAATCTCTCTAAACGAACCCCTATAGATCCCTCAAAAGGGACCTTTGAAGGGACCCGTTTCGGAACCCCGAAACCCCCTAAACCCCAAACCCTAAACCCTAAACCCTAAACCCCAAAACCCCAAACCCCAAAGCCTAAACCGCAAACCCCAGCAAGAATCCCTGCAAGCCTCTGGCAGCTGCGGCTTCCAGAGCCGGCTCAACTCTGTCAGGTTCGCGCTGGAGAGCGTGGAAGGCTCGCCGCCCTGGGCTGTTTCGGGGTCCAAGGGCCGGTTTGGGGCGGAATTTAGGGTTTAGGGTCGGTTTAGGGTTTAGGGTTTAGGGCGGTTTAGGGTTTAGGGTCGGTATACGGGCTGGTTTAGGATTTAGGGTCGGGGTCTAAGGGTTGGTTTAGGGCTCTCTGGAGGGGGCTACACGGGCTCTCATGGTTTAGGGGTTTAAGTTTGCAGGCTTTCGGGTTTCGCTGTTTAGGGATTATAACCAAGGTCTATAAGGGCTTTAGGTCTTCGGGGTTGAGAGGTTTAGGGACTAGGGGGTATAGGGTTTAAGATGTACGCAGTAAGGTAATCTAGCAGGAGGCTTGTTTCATTGGAGGTACGAGGCTTAAGGGTTGGGGCGTAGGGTGCAGAAGCCTGGGTTTGACGAAAGGTTTAGGATGGCTTAGGGTTTCCATCTGTTTTTGAGGATGGATGTCAGAAAGCCTGACGAAAGGGCTTTGTCGAAATTAACAGACGTTGAACAGCGCGCTGCAGTAGGATCGTACACCCTGCAGACCCTTAACCCTGAACCTTATAGGCCCGAAGCCCTAGGCCCTAAACCCTATGCTATGGGGTTTAGGGTTTAGGGTTAAAAATCTTTGGGTAGAGGGCCGTAAGGCTTGTAAGGCTCGCTATAGCATCGGGTTCACGGCTCAGGCAAAGCTCTTAGCGGCCCCAAGCCGTCTAGGGTATAAGGTTTGGGGCTTTAGGGTTTAGGGTTGAGGGTTTAGGAGTTTATAGGGTTTAGAGTTTAGGAGTT